ACCGTGGGTGGGCGACGCCGATCTGAAGCATCCCTCGAGGCTTCAGACTACACTTCCGTCCCACTCCCGATTCCCTGGGCCCGGAGACTTCTCCGACTCTTTGTTAAGCGAGACCGAGGTTCCTCGGCCCTCGCTAGGCCCCACAGTTACCTCTAGTGCCCCCAAGGGCTAGCGGCCCCGCGTCTACACATCACCTTCACACAAACCTGGTGCTACAGATGCAGCGGTAGCTGCCACTACCACTGGCGCGGTGAGAATGCCACGGCCCCCGAATACGCGCGGCTCAGGCCTTATCCCGCCGTGCTCCTTCTTCTCCGCCCCTTTCGCTGCCGCCGCCGCCGCTGCTACCACCGCCGCTTCACAGCCCGTTGCTGACTGGGGGAGGGGGGGGGAGGAAAAAGCACGTCTGACATGCGCAGTGAGGAAATCTCGGGCCGAGGGGCGGAGCCTAGAGGGGGCGGGGGTAAGGTTCCCGGAAGGCCTCGCTAATGCCCGCCTTTAAAAATCCGGAATCCCTCTCTGAGGGAAACCTGCTTCTGGGCTCCTGTAGGATGAGAACTGAGTGAGCTGACAGGTTAGCCGTCCAAGAGAAAAAAGGTTGGCCAAGAACTACATTTCCATAAAAATGTCGACTCTCCGTGCAAATCGACCTTAGCAACATTTCACCTTTATGTCTCTGTCCACATGGTCCCATAGAGCATGGCCACTTATAGCTTCCGGAGCACCAGTTCCGTGTGACGACAACCTGACGGATCTCTACGGGAGGCTAACATAGGATATCACACTCGGGCCCAGGGGCGGGGATTATGTCATTTTCCCGACAGCCTCATCTTGCATCAACTGGGCGGGGCAGAAGGAGGTCTCGCGCTATCTCGGAGACTACGTTCGTTTCCCCCCCCCCACTTCGTGCGCAGGCGCGGACGGAGCCGCACGCATTCTACGTAACGGACGACGGAGGCTACGTGAAGAGTGGGGCGGCGTGACTGAGCTACCTGCTCCGGCTGGGTCTCCAGAAGCGTCGCGGCCCTTAAAACCTTGGCGACCGTGAAGGCGGTGGCCTGGCTGGGTGGAGGTGGCCGCGGCGAGAGCGCCGAGCCAGCTTGTAGCCTCGGGCTTAGGTAAGTAGGGAAAGCCTGACTCCTTAGTCAGAGGGACCGGGCCAGGCCGGGCGATGACTTAAGTTGTGTGGCCTATCGACGGGTCCTATTGCTTGCCCGACTGACCCTTAAGTCCAGTGGGTGGTGACATACTTCGATTGCAACGACTTCTCTTCCCAACTTAAAGAAGCAAAACGAACAGAAAAAAAAACACTCCCTGTTCACTCTTTACTGGTCTTTTTTTTTGCCTTCCTAAGGTTGGTGTGATTTTAGTGGTTTTCGGGATCTCTGCAGAGCTGTGAGTGAATGGCAACCGGGTTAGAGTTGGAGGAAATTTCCAAGGTGAACGGAAAGAATGAAGCGTAGACAATCAGATGAACGGATGTCTCCCTGGTGATGTTTTGATACAGCCAACTACTTCTTGTAGTTAGCCTTCCCTGCTGGTTCCTAACGTAAAATAACGTTTTTAATCAATTCTTGTTAGGGGACAGAGAAATGTCTGCGTGATTTCTAGGCAGCTTCATGTCCTAAAAGCCTAATCCCAAACCACAAGGAATGATTGCTCTACTTAACCTTTTAAGTCCCAAGTCAGTGTTTGAGACATGACTGGGTGAGCTTGCAGCAGGTACTCAGATCAGACATGTTAGTGTTGGGGCCCCACCTTGGTTCTGTGTTCCCGTTTCCCATTTCAGGAATCTTACGAGGCCTTGGGACCTGACAGGGATTTGTGCATTTGAGAAGTGGGTTGACAGGTGCAGCAGAGATTTATGAGTGGACGCCAATGCATAAATGCCTTGGACAATTTTAACCTAATTAACCTTGAAAGGAGCGTGATTAGTGCTGAGTTGTCTTAGAAATTCATTTATTGGATGAACATTCCAAGTAGAAACTGCTTGAAATGACCAGACCTTTTAGCACTCCTTAAATGAAGTTAAGTTTAGCAAGAAATTACTTCTCTTTGAGAAGGCTTAAGCCTGGGTTCTGAAAAAGTCTGCACTAAAACAATGAAAAAAACAAAACTCTTTAGAGGATGTTCATCAGGCACAGCAGAAGGAATGGAACCAATGTTTACTGTGATGGGTGATGCCAGAGATTTGTGCCCACCTCATAGCTGTTACCATCTGTTTCAAGATTGTGTTTTGGACCTCTCTTCTTTTCTCTCTAGTTTTTTTGGGAGCTGTGGTGATGGTAACTAGGGTGTGAATTCGGGGCTTTGTTTTTGTTAGGAATGCACTCTACTTGAGCCACACCTCCAATCCTCTGCCCCTTTAATACTTCCTGGGTGGTCTTGTCCATTTCCATACCATTTCTCTCCAGCCCAAGCCTAGTCTTCACTTCGAATTCTAATTACTTTATTTCTCTCTATATAAAGTATGTTATAACACCTTTTAGGGACATTGAAAGATTCTGTAATGTAGCACTTGAAGCACACATCCCAAACTTATAAGTAAATATTAAATCTAATTTATTTTCTCCTCTATTTTTCACTTTGCTTATTTTTAATTTTTTTTTGGTGGTAGTGAGGATTAAACTCAGGACCTTAAGCATGCTAGGCAAATACTCTACCACTCTAGCCATGCCTCTGGTCCCTTTTAAAATTTATTGTAAAGGTGATGAACAGGGGGTTTACAGTTCAATTGGTTATTTTAAAGCAAAGTCTCCATTTATGCCCAAGCCAGCCTAGGCTAAGATAATCCTACTTATGCTTCCCTGTGTCTCTAAAGATGACCAGCATTAGCTGCTGTGCCCAGATATTGGTTGAAATGGAGTTTTCAAAACTTCTTTTCCCCTGGCTAATGGAAATCTGCATTGAATGGAAATCTGCATCTCAATTAGCTAAGATTATATAGGCTTAAGCTACCTCACCCTGCTTTATTTTTTATCTCAATTAGGGGTAACTTTGTCCATCTATTCATTTAACAATATTTGGAATCACTGCAGATCTTCCCTTATGGTGTTACCTATTTCTGATTATTTTGACAAATATAATTCCTAAATATCTGTCAAATCAATTTCTACCACTGGTTTATCCATGTCTATCACTTTCTGTTTTTTTTTTTTCTGATTCAATTGTACTTCAGTTCATCTCTTATAATTCTCCTATTTAAAATCCTTGTTTCTTCTAACTATCCAAACTTCTTGATTTAATATTTACATAGTGATCTTCCCCGTGCTGGTCTTTCTAGCTCCATTTCCCCTACTTTGGTATTTCAGACTGAAATATGTTGTTTCAAACCTACCTCTTTGATATAGGAACCAAAGTTTTATTTATTTTTAAGATTTGTGTGTGTGTGTGTGTGTGCGCGTGTGCGTGCGCGTGCCTGTGCCTGTCCTAGTGCTTGAACTCAGAGCCTGGGCTCAGTCCCGGAGCTTTTTTTTTGGTTCCGGTCGTGGGGCCTGAACTCTGGGCCAGGGCGCTGCCCTTCAGCTCTTCAGCTCAAGGCTAGCACTCTACCACTTGAGCCATAGCGCCACTTCCCGCTTTTTTTTCTTTTTGCTTATGTGGTGCTGAGGAATCGAACCCAGGGCCTCAGGCATGCAAGGCAAGTGCTCTACCACTGAGCCACCTTCCCAGCCCAGTCCGGGAGCTTTTATGCTCAAGGCTAGTACACTACCACTTGAGCCATGCCTTTACTTCCTACTTTCTTGTAGTTAACTAAAAATGTCTTGAGCCGGGCGCTGGTGGCTCACGCCTGTAATCCTAGCTACTCAGGAGGCTGAGATCTGAGAATCATGGTTCAAAGCCAGCCAGGGCAGGAGAGACCGGAGACTCCTATCTCCAATAAACCACCAGAAAACCGGAAGTGGCGTGGTAGCTCAAGTGGTAGAGCGCTCGCCTTGAGCTGAAGAGCTGAGGGACAGCGCTCAGGCCCAGAGTTCAAGCCCCATGAC